CCAGGAATGCTGGCTTAACATGGTATTTAAGCCCGCAGGCCATTCGTAAAGCCTGTTAGAGAGCAAAGAAGGTCTTGAGGCCGATTGTGTTCAAAGGTCTGTACCGATGCTTCAGCTCTGAAGGTTAACCTCTGCTGCTAGGAATTCCTGGCTAGATTGTTTCTTGGAATCTGCTTGTTGGAGGTAAAGCCTGTTTGAGAGCAGAGACGGCTTCGAAGCTAATTGCGCATCACAGTCTGGCATAGAACTTGCTCATATAGCTCATCAGGTCGATCCTTGCCCGGGAATTCCAAAGAACTCAGCAGATCTATGACTTCTTAGTTCCGCGTCAGCGCAAATTTCCAAATTATTGTCGTTAAATTCCTATAGTGTGATCTTTATCTACTACGACACAAGAAATGGCTTAATACAATTTAAATTATCATAACTTTACATAATCTTTATGTGTGCAGAAGTCACAGTGCGCTGACTGGACGATTTCAAGTACAGACAAATTGTATCTTAAAAGTTCCTCTGTACTTCAGAATCTATTCAGGCCTAGTACTATTACGATGCTGGAGAATTCAATGCTAGCACCAAGAACAGTAGCCATGACACGTTGAATTTCTATCAGAATGCATGGCCCAACACAAAAGGAAACATCTGACCAAGCGTCCACAAAAACAACAGACAGCCTGAGTATGTGGGCCCAAGACCTTGTTTCTTAGACACCAGTGAAGCAAGAAATTCTCTTGTGAAACTGATCGTTGGTTAATTTTCGTATAACTCTGAAAGATATTTATACAAATTTTTCCACCACGACAGCTCGTCCGCGGGTGGAGCTTATTACAAGCGTTGAGGTATCATTGATATCTATTTCCCTTCCCATTCGCAGGTGGATGACCAATCGGGGTCATATCTCGGTTTTGCGCCCAGACCTTCCTTTTGACATTGCATGATGGCTTGCATATGCTGAAAACAGTGGAGATATTGAAGAACTTATTGTAGATATCAAGCTTTGTTTTTATAAAAAAGCAGTGCAATTGTAGTAAATAAAACAATAATTTATGCACCACATCAACTCCTATAATCAGGTCCTTCTAAGGAAGAGCCCCGCATTCAACTAGCACTCAGAATTG